TGTCATTATATTGTATACCTAAAATGTACCAATTATTAGAATGAATAATTGATAATGCAAAATAGGAAGAAAAGGTCCAAACGGGTAGGGGAAGTGGGAGGGGCAGGGGAAAGGAAAGAAGGGAAAGGAAAAATGATGAGAAACGGAGAAAATGGAAATAAAGCCTTTATAAATAGGGAAGGGTGGCGGGCGTGAAGGGAGGGCTAGGAATGGGGAAAAAATAAGAACCAAGATGCATTATGTAGAGGTACTATTCTCAATGAGAAATGTAATTGTGTTGTATACCTACAATGTACCAATAAAAGAATTTAAGAAAAAAACCAAAAAAACCAAGCTTCTTGCACTTTCTACATCAAATATAAAATAGTAAGTCAAAGAACAGCCTAGACCTAAAAGAGAAATTATGAAAATTTTCTGCCTTTAAGCATGTAAGAATTATTCTCCAAACTGTATGATTTGCATCTAGTTACATGGAAGAATCTGCTAGTTTTTCCAATGCAATATCTATAGTAGATTTAATTCGGTTTGTTCTATTAAATTCACAGTGTAATTCGGGACATCTTTTTCTCTTTTCCCCTTCCAATTTCTTCATTTTGGCATATTTTATAGCTTAAAAATGCATGAAAAAGAGGAAACATAGTCAAGAACACTCAAATCTGTAAGTCACTTTTCTTAGCAAGTCTGGGAAAAAGTTTGATGGAACAGTAAAAATAATGACCTTTGAGTTAAAAAAACGAAGTATAGATAGCCTGATTATTTAAAAGCTGTAGTTCTTTAAAGATGACCTGATTTTTGAAAAGCCCCAACTAGCACTGAAAATAAATGAGAATGGATTTTTACAAACTGAAATTATTTAGATTAATATTACCCTGAAAATCTAAGCAAAATTAAAATTCATAGAAGCATTTAAATTACCTGAATCCCTTCATTAAAATCCTTAAAAATCAATACTTAATTTATCACTTTTAAATATGGCTTGGGCAAAGTTTCATACAGAAGAAAGTATTCATTATGAAAAATAAGATGTAGAATGGGAATTAAGCTATACATACAAAGACTAAGTTTAGTACTGCTTTTGGCTCAACAGGAACGGAAAAATGAGAATTTTGTGAACTTTTTAATAATCAAGTAAAATTTTTTAAATTCTCTGACAGCTCCTGGAGCACCTCGTGTTTACCTGCAAAGAGTCTGTAAATGCGTCATCCTTGTTTTCAATGGGTCTGAACAGCCCCTTTTTCTTCTCCCGGTCCCTTATGTCTGGGCTGGCAGCACTAATAAGCATCTTCAGGTTGGCTGTGGGTGTCCATGGTTCTGCCTGCTGTCTGTCCACAAGCTTAACTGGAGTAATGGGATTTCTTTCTGGAGTGAAGATTTTTTGCTTCGATAAATCCATTGGTTCATTTTTTATTGGCGTCTTTGGGGCCATCCTTGATCGATCAACAAATATATTTTCCTATTTTTTTAAAAAAGAGACTTTTAGCAAGAAACAGCAGGTATTAGCTACGAGTAGTTTGTTCCCACCATTCACTAAGACTTGGAAATACAAACAGGACTATATATGTCCAGGGCTGAAAAGTATCAGGATTGGGTTAGTGAAAAATGGATAGACTTCATGGGAACTGAACAGTGGCTCCAATGAGAACCTGTGGTCCTTTTAAACACTTTTTCATGGGATCTCTGTAAGAGGTGTCATGAATATATTAGTTATTGGTTGATGTTCACAATAGGTGGGGTGATGAAGGCCAATATAGGTTGAATCTATATTGTTTTTAAGGGCTACATATGTATTTTTACACACTACTTAAAAATCTGCACTAGTTAGTGAAGAGCAATTATGCTTTTGTAGTTCAAAGTTCACCAGTGGTAATATAGCAATTAGTATAGTACAACCAGTTACAGAAAGAGCATCCAACAAAATACATTTTAAGCAAAGTTAGAGTGCTGTGTAGTAATGTTATTCTTCTAGAGCAGTATTTCTCAAACCATCCAGAGAAGGACCAGCTTTTTATATTTCCAAACTCCCATGTACTGAGCTGATCTTACTTGTTATGACTAATATGCAATTCCCATCATATGTGATTTGCCGTTTTGTTTTGTCACTCAAACAAACCTACAGCCCATTCAACCAGAAGACTACTGATCATAAGCTCAGATAGCCCAAGGTGATTATCAAACTACCAATAAAGTTTTTAAGTGCTCAAATCCCAAGTTTAGTTTTTAAATTTTTTTGTAGCCTGGTAATAGTTTGTAGATAATTATAAGATTAAAGATGGGTCCATTATGACAAAGGACTAAATACTGAAAACTAGCATTTAGAATCACTAAGTAATTAAAAATTTTTCTTCCTTCTAAAATGTTTCATTCAAAATCAGAAAGATTCTGCTCTTCCTGTAGACTTCACTTCCTGTCAACAGTGATTTACATAATCATGAAGGTGGATGAGTTAAATATCTGTCACTCCTTTTCCTCTTTTTTCCTCTACATGTATCACATTACAGTACAGCACGCTTGGATTCTGGCTGATCAGTAACTTAGCCATAGTGACAGTCTGTCCTAGCATGATAGGCAGGAAGGGTGTGGATGGGGGAGATCATTTTTCATGTCATCACAGCAGCAGGCACTCAGCCTAGAGGGCTGCACCTACTTAACTCTCAACAAGTCCCTGCCAGTATGCCCTTCTGATGAAAAGTTCTACAAGTGAACTCTCAAGGGAAATTACCGAGTGCCACATTCTGTTTCATGTACTTTGTATGTATTAATTCCTCATCTAATCCTGTGGTATAGGCACTGTTGTTTTTCCAGTTTATAGATGAAGAAACTGAGGCAGAGAAAGGTTAAATAACTTGTGTTAGGTCATATACAAACTCATTTGGTATAAAAATTATTGGTATGTAAGAAACAGCTGAAAGCAGACGTTTCTGAAATGCTGCATCTAGAAATGACCCTGGGTAAAACTGGGAGGAAGTTACCTTTTTCACAGTTCCAATAATCCAGCAGGCCACTGACCCCTACTAGCATCTCAAGAGAAGCAGTAAGGGGAAATGGTTATATTTGCAGGATCTAGAACCACTTATCAGTCTCTGCTCCTTAACAGAATGAACATGGGCAAGTCCTTGACTCCACTATACTTCCATTCTCTCAGCTGAAAATGAAGTTCATAAAAACACCGATCTCAAGTGTTATGAGAATAGTCCCTGGTATACTGAACACTCAACTTACCATTACTTTTTCCTCTCTTTCGCATTCTGGCACTTAGAGTTAATATAATACAGCACATCATATTGCTATTTAACTTCTGGGCATGTGTCCTGTCTCCATAATGAGACTGTGTACTTGTGGGGGTCAGTTTGCACATCCTTTTCCTCACAATCCTCAACCGTTACAGTTGCTCAACCACTGTGCTTCGATTACCTAGTTCTTCCAAAAGGTGTCCTCCTCGGAGAGGGTGTGGCTCTGGCTTGCGTGCACAGGTATTTACTCTCCTTTCCTGCTGTTTCCACAGTACCTGTCCTCACAGGAGCTATGAGTTCCTATTTTTTTCTCAAGCTAGACAGCAATTCAGAATGGATTATTTCTTTATACACTCTGATATATTTATGCTACAGTTTAAGTAATAAAATGGGAGGGCAGTTAGGGTACATGGCAGGTTAGGACTATATCACAACTCTTTGTGAAAATTTAAAAAATACCAAGCAAATTGTGTTTTGGGGACTCAGGTAGACAAGAAAGTCAACTGTAACCTAGTCATACCCTGTTCTACCTGTCTGTCTATTCTGTTATCCTGACACTGCAGAAGGCAGAGGAAAGGGGATTAGCATGGGAATTTACAATCCTGATTTTTTTTTTTTGGTACTGGAGATTGAACTCGGGACCTTGTGCTTGCGAGGCAGGCGCAGGAACCACTGAGCTAAATCCCCAGCCCATAATGGGAATTTAGAAACAGAATCTGGTTCATGTCAGGGGTGTGTTGGCTCATTCTGTCTGGGCACAAGTTTCTGTATGTAAAAAGAATTTAGACCAAGGTACCTGTCTTCAAGGCTTTCTAGCAAGGCTGCATAACTGTTTAGTGGATGCTGGGATGCACCATGATCTCTTCAGGAATGAATGAGACATCCCCTCAGCTGCTGGAAGTCATGCCAACAGCAAGCCTTTGGCCAGACTGCCTTGACTGAGGAGGGCTGACAAGTCCAGGATCCCTCCCTTTCATGGAAGGCCTCGATGCCTGGTAGAGGAGCAATGACATACAAAAGCCTGGTCTCCTCGCCCCAACTCAGGACCATGTTTAAGGCTCATCTTAGAACTCTCCAAAACTCAGACTTCTACTGTAATTACACTGCAGCTCCACTTTTCCTTTTCTCCAATTGTGCTCTCTTCCTTTCCCTTCCCTTCCTTCCCCTCCAATGCCCTCCCCTAGGCCTTGAACCCAAGAGCCCTCCCTCATAAATCTATACATTCAGTTCCAGGTGGGGTCTACTTGTCAGAAAATGTAGCTTGCAACACCTTAAAAATCACTTCCCCGGTGAGAGCCTGGAGAATGGAACCCGGGAAATGGTCCTCCAGTTCTCAGACGTGAAGGAGCTAATGCGCCCTGGCTTCTGTGCCACACAGCTGCTGTGAGGATTAGCTCAAATAATGCCAGCAAAGCACTGTCATCTGCCAAGTGCTACACAAATGTTCATATCTTTATGATTAATACAATATCTGCACTATGACTACAGGTAAATGCTGCCATAGAAATGGCTCAGTAGCTGCAAGATCTTGGTTCTAGTCATGGTTCCATCTCCATACAGCTTTGATCATGTAACCTCAAATAGTATCTGTAGTCATCAGCACTGTCAAGGTGCTCAACAGCATCTGAGCAACCTCGTCCAGTTCCCACAGGCATAGCCCACACTGCCCCAATGGTCCACCTGCTTTTCTTCAAACCTGCCCTGTGCACTCAATCACCTAAGTAGTGGCTCACACCATCACTTTCTCTTCAGTGCCACTGCCTGTTGAAATCCTACCTATTGTTGAGGGCTCATTGTAAATACATGTTAGGAAGTGTTTCCTTCTGTCTGCTGATCAAACTCTCCTTCCTGCCACAGTACACTTCCTAGGAGTAATCTCGCTGATGGCTTTCTCCCACCTTCCTCCCAGGAGTTCCCCTACAAAGCCTATTCTGATCCACAGCTTTCACTTCCCAGTTGCCAATGCAAATCAATGGTGAAATATCTTACTTGACCTCCCTGCAGCAGTTAAGACTGCTTCTCGCTTCTGAAATACTGCACTGCTCTTTCTCTCTTGGCTCGCTTCATACTTCTGACTGTGCCTCCTCAGTCTCCTTCATTGGTTCCTCTTCTTTCCATGCTTAACAAAATGCAAAAGTCCACACTCAGCTCTTCAACCCTCTCTTACTATTCACATTCTCTGGGATGGTTCACCTAATTGCACATGTATGGGTTTAAAGTCAACTTGCGTGCTCACAATTCCCAAGTTTCATTCTGAGTCTAGGACCTTTCATAAATTTCAAAATCAGACAACCAGCTTCCTGTTTGTAAATCACCAAACATATTCCAAATTTAACTCACTTTCTTTGCCAACCACTCCCAAAAGATATGAATGTCTTTTAAAGAATACCCAGGTCCACTAAGTCTGTGGATTATCCTCAACTGTGCCATGCTCTTTCAGAGCTCTCCCCACAGCTCAACCCTTGGCATTCACCTTTTCCTCTGAACCATCCATTCCCTACTTTTGTCATCCCCAAATGCACTGCAGAATCTTGCATCCTTAATGCATTGGACAGCCTTATTTATAAACCCACAGCTAAGAGCAGTCAATGTGGGTAAAAATGTTAAGAACTTCTTTATGTTTTCAAGAAAAGTTTCCCCATGAATAGGCAGAAGATGCAAGTACAATGCAGTACTTCGGATCTTGACCAATGTGCAGATGTCAAGAAAGAAACCCTCTAAATAACTAATCATGCAGACACAACTGCCCAACCTGCCAGAGACATTTCTGGAAGGAAACACTCGGTCTCACTGGCTTTGGGCCACTGTGAACTTCCTGAACATTTCTTGAATGCCCACACTTCATGTTGTTCCTTCTGCCTGAAATGTCCATCTCAGTCATCTTACAGGTTGTTGAACTTCCTCATCTAGGAAAGTGTAACTCAGCTGTTTCTTTCTGAAGCCTCCCAAATCCCTTCAGTTTACTTCTTTCTCCTCTATTATGCCCAGGTACTCTGTTCCCCCTCCTAATATGACACCCACTAAATCATAGTATAGTTGGCTAGTTTTTTATCTGGGTCCTTGAAAGTCTCCCAGGTAACTGAGTGGCAAGGCCTGTATCATATTCACCTTTGGGCTGTCAGTTTGATTCAGTGAATGTGATGAGTACATGCTGCTGGGTGCTTACAAAACCCAACAGTGAAGGTGCTATGTATTAGCTCCAATTCATGGAAGGGAAAAAGGGACTGAAAAAGGTTAGGAGACTCATTAAACCACTGTATCCTCACCATTGGAAACATAAACATTTGTTGAAAGACCTTGTAAATGTATTTGTTTGAGGTCATGCTAATAAATAGTAGAGCAGGAAATCAAACCTAGGACTCTGACTTCAAACCCATGTTCTTGTCATCCCTAGAAAGCCTCCTTCCTACAATTCCTAGCAACATGGAAAGGAAAGGCCCCTTCTAGTGTCTTGGTAGAAGCTCTATGCTCTCATCTCTTGACTTCTTTGGGAGGTGAAATAATCCTTGCTCACATACTCTGTTTCAAATATTTTAACCATTTTCTCAACCTCTTTTATGTTATTTGAGTTTTTCTGTACACCCATTAAAACGTGAAAGCTCAACCAGACACAGCCCTATCTGAGCCTAACTAGGGGAGGAGAAGGACCCTTGTTGAAGGCTTTTGATAAGTCACTGACCCAGAAGGATGGAAGCAGAACACGGACTTAAACAGTGACTTAGACTTTGTATAAATGTAAATTTTCTTTCAAGGCTGAACTGTCCAAATTATAAAGAAAACTAAAAAATTTTGCTCTGAAATTCACCGAGCCAAAATTCTAAATATATACTTAAAGGGCTGGAGACTGCTACCTTCATATGCCTTAGTTAGTTTAAAGTTATCCTTAAAACAATAATGTTTTAGTATACTTCTTTTTTTTTTTTGGTACCGGGGATCAAACTCAGGACCTTGCGCTTGTGAGGCAGGTGCCAGAACCACTGAGCTAAATCCCCTGCCCCAGTATACTTTTTTTTTTTTGGTATCGGGGATCGAACTCGGATCCTTGCGCTTGTGCAGCAGGCGGCAAAACCGCTGAGCTAAATGCCCGGCCCCCCAGTATACTTCTTTTCCTAGCAAAAATAAATCAAATATTGGGAAGCATATAGTTTCGTATCTATTCAAAATTAGTAACTTTCAAGAATTGTTTAAAGGTTGTGTAACAGGTGTTTTGTAACCAGCCAGGCTCATTGTTGATGTTAAGCTTAAAAATAAGACCATGAACCCAGAGTTCAATGCCCAAGGAAGTTAACTTCTCTCAGATTTATACTTGAAGTTTCTAAAACTAGGTTTGTTATATTTATTTGCCTCTGTCTAAAAATGCTCAGCTCTTTACTGCTAATAAGCTATAATGCCTTTTTGGTAGATCATCTGCTGGTTTGTATAACTATGCTGATGTTGGCAAGGTGATGGTTTAGATATTGCTATGGCCAGTTTATTTAATATTTCTTGCAGATACAGTCTTCCAAATTCAAGGAGTGCAAAAAGAGAAAGAATGGCTCATATAAAAATAGCAAAAGCACTGAAAAATATTTAGAGTATGTTCGTGGGGCCAGTCACTTTGCTTACTATATGGTAGGCACAGGCCACATTCTTGGGTAAATGGGCAAGAGACTTACAGGTGGTTCCTTGGTAAGGAGGTATTTCTCAGAGTTTTAATAATCCAAAATTTATAAATACACAAGTCTATTTTCTGAGGCCAACATTCTACAAAACTATCCTTGACGACTGTAAGCATTATAAATTGACTGCTGTGTCCAGCATATCTTTGATTTAAATAAGCTGGTTCCAATACTACATCTACTCACTTCACAAGGACTGGGACCAGAATGGAAACAATAATGGTTTGGATGGCTCTATTTGTTAAAAACTATGTTTCTGTAATGTCCACGAAAATTAATGAAAAACCTTGTAAGATAAGTACAAGTAGCACACTGGAACACTTAAGTGGATTCAGCATCTCCACCCTTGGTATGTGGGAGATTAAGGTACTTATGCATGCTTACCTTTTGTGCATTTTCCCCATCTTCAATTGCCAACTCTAGTCTGGCCTGCTTGGGGTTGATCAGGTCTTTTAGTGTTAAACAATTTACCTCCATCTGTAATGGACGATTACATTAAAAACGATTTTATACTTAGATATTTTCCTCCCACAAAAATATGTATTAGTTGTTCATGAACATGACCTTCTCCTTCCCTAAAGGCATCCCTGAGTTTCCAGAAGTGTAGCCACCCTCCAGACCTACCTAAAATTCACATGGACAAGTACAATTACAGAAAATCTGGGAAGAAAAAATATGGACAAAAATATGAATTCTTTATGAAAAGCAATAGCAAAATACAGCTACTAAACGAGGAAGGTATTGGGCAAATCTGTCAGAAAGTGCTGTATAGGGTCTCTCCAGGTCAGTTAATTTTGGCGCAAAGAACTGGGAGGAATTCAGCTTTGAGGGGGTTTGAATCAGGGGGGCAGGAAACCTGATCGCTAGAGCAAACCCACTCAGCGCTTGGAGCGGGTCCTTCCGAGGCTTCCAAGCAGACCCCAAGGATAAATCCTTCCAGGGAAACCCCAAAATCGCGGGCAAGGGCTGGAGAAGGGACAGCTGGAGCTCGCACAGCCCGCGCGCGCCAGGACCCACCTTGGGACACCTCGATCCCACGCCAGCCCGGGAGCAGGAGGGTGGCAGGCTGGCAGCCGACCGGGAGGGGTCCTCTCTCCCTCAATTCCCGCCTCCCACCAGCGCTGGGGCAGCACGCTTACTCACTCCCGCTTTGCCAAAGAGGCGCTTTGCCTCTGCCGGGATCTCCCCGGCCCCACGCCGATGCAGGTATCAGCAGCTGGATGGGGACATCGGGAGGGCAAGGTGAGGCGCGCAGACCCTCTGCTCCGATTGCACAGCGCCGGCGGGATCCCCGCGGCGTCCTAGCAGCGCCAGTGTTCCTACCCGCCCAGCGCGTCTACAGCCAGGATCGCGGACCCCGCTAAAACACCTCCTCTGGCGCCTTGAGACCGAATTTGAGCATCCGCCAATCAGCGGCCGCCGGCGGGATGGGTCCGGCCAATGGCGCGGCGGCACGACCTGGGGCCCCGCCCCTCGCGGTCTTGGCGCTCCGAGCCGCGCGTTTCTGCAGCACCCGCCCAATTGTTGCCGCCTCGCCTCCTCCCCCTTCCGGGTACCTGGAAACCTCGCGCCGGGAGCCGATTCCTGGGGCCGCGCGGGCGCAGGGCGGCGGTAGCCAGGGGCTCTTTTGTTATGCAGAAGAGATCGCCAGGTCCCCGAGGCCGCGGGCTCAGCCAGGGGAGGGCAGCAGATGGAGTCTGGAAAAACAATCCGCGCGCCTCAATGCCGCCGCCCCCGCCCCAGCAACCTGCGTGGAAGCGAAGTTGCCCGGACTTGCAGGGCAGCGACACGTGAGCCGCGGTGACCGCCGCCGCGGCAGATGGCGCGCCGATTGGCCCCGCGGACCGCACTGGGAGCCCAACAAATGGCTCTTTAACCTTTTATTTATTTGTTTGTTTGTTTTTTTGTTTATTTTTCCATCCAGGTCTAGAAATATTTCTTGGTGTTCATCGCGGATCATTAACAGGAGGAAGAAGCCTTACTCAGTTATTTACGATATGGACTTGCTTTCAGGGGAACAGTCAAGAAAATTTCCTCAACATTGCTGATTTGTATTAAATGTTTCACTTCCTCCTGTTGCTTAGTTAAAATATGAATATGGGTAAATGCAGCTGGGTTTTTTTCCCTTTTAAGATTTTTTCCTTTTTTAGTAGGACATGTTTGCAGTACATAATTACGTTTATCGTGGCAAGTTTGTAAATGTACATAACATATCTTAGTTCTTTTTTGTCCCTTCCCCTCACACCTCTTCCTGCTTCCTCCATGTCTTGTTCCCCTTCCCATTTGTAAAAGCTCCATTTCCACTCTTTGTACAATTCCCTCCTTTCAGTCCCCTTTCCCTTCCTCTCCCCTTATCTCTTGTTCCCCTTCCCATTTGAAAAAGAGCACCCTATCTTCTATTATCTTTTATTTTGCTGTTTATTTTGGGTTTCTCATATAGGAGAAATCATGCGATGTGTAAACTTTTGTGTCTGATATATTTCACTTAACATTATGGTCTTGAGGTACATCCCTTTACCTACAAATGCCTCAAGTTTATCCATTATGGCAGAGTAGTACTCCATTTTGTATAAATACATTCTCTTATCCGTTCATCTGTTGATGGGCACATAGATGTTTCCAAGATTTACCTCTTATGAACTGTGATGCTGTAAATAGGGGTATTCATGTGTTACTACAATATAATGTCTTTAATTCTTTCAGGAAGATACCCAGAAGGGGAATAGCTTAGTCCCGTAGAATTTCTGTTTTTAATGTTTTTGGGGAATCTCTTTACTGATTTCCACAGTGGTTGTACTAGATTCCCACCAACAACAGAAGGGTTCCTTTTCCCCTTCAGCCTCGCCAGCATTTATTATTATTTGATTTCTTGATGGTGGCCATCACAGAGTTCTCAGGATCCATCACCCATTTTCAACCACTATTAACATCTTATATGAGTGTAGGACATCTGTTAAAATCAGTGAACCGACGTTGGTGTATTATTCATAAAGTCATTATTTTACTCAGATCTCCTTTTTACCTAATGTCTTTGTTTCTGTTCCAGGATGTCTCCCTGCTTTTAGTCTTCAAATTGCCCTAGGCTTGTGAGCTGTGAAAACTCCTCATACTTGCCTCATTTTTGATGGCCTCTAGCTACAGTTTCCAGGAGTACTGCTCAGGTATTTTATAGGGTAACCCTCAACTGGAATTTCAGACAGCCCTTTTTAGAGCATGTCTTCGGACATTCGCCTATAAACCACATACTTTACAGCCATCGTTTGTTCCCATTACCTTTTCTGTACCAAGCTCCATTCTTCACCTATATATAAGAACCATCAGGAGACAGCAGAAATTGATCCTCTCACAGTTGAGGATGCTGAGGTTCAAAAAAATGAAGGTGTTGACATGGCCACGTTCCCCCTGGGGATCGGGAGAGTCTGTCCTTTGCCTAAATTGCTTCTGGTGGCTGTCAGCAGTTTTTGTCCTATTGATGTCTCACTCTAGTCTCTTCCACTGAGGTCACATTTTCTCCTCTTTTGCCTTTAAGTGTCCCCTGTGTGTCTCTTATAAGAATACTTACTGGATTTAGGTCCCAGGTAAAAGTAGATAATTCAGGATGATCTTATCTCAATGTCTTTAATTATGTCTGCAAAACTCTTTCCCCAAATAAGGTAATGTTAATGGATTCCAGAGTTTATCAGTTTATTCCAGAGTTTTATCATCTTGAGACCTGTAGACCAATATTCAGATTATTAAAGTCCAGTTATTTCTCTCATATTTCAAAATACTTGTGGTTGTTTCCTAGAGGTTAGGCAGTTTTATGTTACAGACCTTTTTCTGGCATTTTCATAGTAAAAGTACTTTTCCTATTTCAATGCAAACATAGCCTATATATATTCAAATCTATTCAATTCAACAATGAAGTTAATATGTAGCTTCAGACACTTGTAATTTTATTATAAATGAAAGTGGTCTTAGGTTTGGAGGAAATCTGGAAAATAAATGATGGACAAATTCAGAAACATTGTTCTGAATTAAATTGATGCTTTTGAATCCTAGAATTCATAAGCAACCTGCGCATCTCTCAGTTATTCAGCTGATGACTGATGCTGGCCGGAAAGCAGGCGAGCATGGCCGTGTGTGTGGATTTTCCACGTAGCCTGATGTTCCTTGCGGTGTGGGAGCCCAGGGCAGTCAGCCAGACCTCTTCTGTAGTGGTGCAGAGTGTCAAAAATGACTGTCTCAGCTGGTAAAATAGATGCCCTTTTGTAACACATCCTAAGAACTAAGCATCAATTCTTCAATACTGTTTTGGATGAACTAGCCAGAGGTCCACCCACATTCAAGGGGAGATGCCACATGCTCCACCTCTCAAAAGAGAAGTGTCAATTTGGGACCATATTTAAAAGCAGGCACTGTAAGGTTTCATGCCAGTTGAATTATTATTCTCCCTCAATAATATCTGCCTGAAAAAGTCACTGACTTCAGAGTAGTATAGTATTACCTACATGGCAACAGTCCCCAAGGTTGTGTGTCGTGATCAGTTTGTGGTTCGCAACCTTGTCTAGTGTTTTAGAATCACCTGGAAAGATCTGTAAAAATTGTAATACTTGAACTTCACATCCAGTTATTTCTATTTTTCTTTTGGTCTGGAATTTGACTTGGGTATTACATATTTTTAAATGCTTCGTGTCTGGTTCCTTAACACCATGCTAGTAGTATGCTTCCTCATTGATTTTCTTGAATGTCTCTGATTCAGTGGTTTTAGCAGTGGATCCTCAGATCTTGTCACTGAGCACAGGAAGAGGGGGAGGTATGCTACCTTCTGGAAGAGGTGGAGAGGTTTAAAAGGGCTGGGTCTTGCTGGCTCATGGCTATGTCACTAGTTTTGGAAAGAGTGGAGGTAATGAGAAATCTGATGGGTGAGGTGAGGATATAACAGAAGAGTGAGTAATAAGGTCTGTGAGCAGGAGAATATACTGAGATATGTCTGTGCAAACAATGCACTGCTTCTCAAACCTGTAAGTAGTATTTTACCCTTTTGGAGTTCCAAATCCCAAGATTTACAGAAACAGGAGATTTATCATACTTTACAGAAAGAATACACTGTAGTGAAGTACAATTTGTGTCAGTTCTAGGGCAAGGCAGTGTGTTACTTTTCTTTTACTACTCTAAGCAATGGAAATGAACTGGTCTTGGTGTGGCATCAGTGTTTAAAACTGCAGTCACAAAAGTAACTGGAAACTGATTTTGCAGCACACAGGGAATAGGGAACTTAGCTTCATATCCTGGCAATTCTCAAGCTTCAGTGTAACTTGTAGTTGTCTTTGTAGTCCTTTTTGTCCTCTTCCTCCCCCCCCCCTTCCCCTTCTCTTTCTCCTCCTTCTGTTTAGAGACAGGGTCTCACTAAGTTGCCTAGGCAGACCTTGAGCTTGTCAGTTACTTGCCTCAATCTCCTGGGTTGCTGGGATGTGTACCACTGTGCCCAGATAACAGTTCTGCTATTTTAAATGGCCTTTGTCTTCAGCCATTCACTGAGCTAAGAATGTGATGCATTTGCTTCTCTAACTGCTAGCAAGTTTAGAGAAGGTAGAACATTTATTTTTGGCTGACTAGAAGAAATGTGGGGAATGAGTCCATGATTGGTTCCTGCCCATGACCTTAGCAACAATAAAAATAATACCAAAGGGCACTTATGGCTCCCAAGTCAAATGACATCCAGATGTCCAGCTGTTCAAAGGGAGATATAGCTGTGATTGTATGTACTACAAGGAGCAGAGGAATTCATTCTTTATCGTCTACAGACTCATGGGAATCCTTAACACTATGGAGCAAGATTGTATTTTTAAAAAATAACTGTGATTTGCTTTTCACTAAGTGAAAAGATACTGTACTTGGTGCACATGCGTGTGTATCTGAGTGCATGCTCAAAGCAGGGATGGGAGAGGGGGCTGTGCTGAAACATTTTAGATCACAACAGATTGGATGAATTTGAGTTGGGTATTTCTGGAACTAGTGTGGGACTGGAGACTATAATGGGGCACCCTTTACATGATGGAGCATTTATGTGCAAGCTTCAGCATGGTTGGCTGGAGCACCATGGTGGGTAGGGCTATAAAAACGAGACTGCTGCTCTGGAACTGAGATTCTGGAGAAAATGGAGAAAACATACTTTTCTGAATCTTCAGAATCTTATCTAGAATGAAGGAATTAATTTTGAGGAGTAGAGAAACATAGATTCTAAATCAAGCTTGGTTGTGAACTTGCTGGGTGATGTGAGACAAAAGGAATAGTTTACTAGGCCTCAGTGCTCTCTGTGTGTAGTGGGATTGATTTAGAAGACCTGAAAAACCTGATATTCTGCGT